GGGTGGGGAGAGATTAACCAAAGAATTTATATGCATATATGCATAACCCAGTTCTGCCTCTTAAACTCGAACCACCTGAGTTTGTGTTTGTGCAACGGGGATAACAATAGTGAAAATTAGATGAGCTAACGCATGTAAAACCCTTAGAAGAACAGTGCCTGGCCCTTAGCAAGTGCTCAATGAATGTTAGCTGTATTATCATTATTAAGCCTATCCAGCCCTCAGTCACCCTTCTTTCCCTCCCAGCCTGGAATCTTGTTCTGGAAAGTTAGTTCCCCTTTCTGTCCCCCAGGCTCTGGACCCTTCTCTTCTCACTAGCCAGGTTATTTCATCTCTCTAAGCCTCCTTGTCCTTATCTGTGACATGGGACTGAGACTAATGGAGCCTGCTGCATAAGGTTGTGGTGACTGTTAAGTGAGCTAATTCAAGGCCTAAGCAAAGGTCTCAGTGACTATTTAATCTCCTTACTGTGAGCCCTGTCACACAAAAGGCTGCCTGGAAGGGCCTTTGAGATCTTGGAGAGTTCTAAGAGCCATGGCACCCAAAGTAGACAGGAGCATTTAGGATTAACCAATGCCTGAGTGTGAGCCTTGGGAACTAGAGAGACTGCTGGCTTGCTCTTTTCTGTAGCACTGTGCCTGGAACCCAGGCAGCACATGGTAATATCAGATGAATGAATACTACAGAAGAGTATTCAAAAACAGGTTTGGCTCAGGCAACCTGACAGAATTTTCAAGGCAAAACACTCCCCGGTGTTTAAGCATTTAAACTTAGCAAGAAACACCTTCCTCCTCTCCTCACCTGTCTTTGCCCCCAGGATTTGAAAACAAAACCAAACAAAATCTTATTGTTTGGAGTTACTATGTTCTAGACATTCTACTAAGTACTTTATAGACAGTATCTTGAAAGGTGGGTATTATTGTTTTCATTTTATACACGAGAAACTAAGATTTAGAGAGATTGAGCAATTTTCCCAAGTTGCATACCTGGTAAATTGCAGAGCCAAGATTTGAAGCCTAGCCTGTGGGACAGGAAGGGGACAGCTCCCATTTGCTCATAAATGTTCTGATTTTTGGAACAAATACCAGAACATCGATGAGCAAATACTATTTTCCACTCACCATTCTCCCAAATACCCATGGTACAACTGAGGAGTGCCTCCAAGTGACAGATGCCTCTCCATGGAAGTCATCTAGCCTTGACATTACCTAACCGCCACTTCATAGACGTAGAGCCATGCCTGCCACAACTAAAGTCGTGAAAGTTGTTCATTCCTCCCTTTATCTGACTCTCTTCCTTACTTTACATTTGGGTAAGTCAAATTCCAGAAGTGATGGACAAGATGTATTCGGTTTTTCTGATATATTTAGTATTTCCATGAGACTCTATGTTAGAGAAGTACAAAGTTATTTTTGTAAGTCATTTTTCTGTCTTTGGGAAGCAAGTATTCAAGTACATTAAGAACCTAAAGGGAGCCGAGGATCTGGAAACCAGGAGGCTGAGATTGATTCCCAGCATTGTCTTTCTTGATTACAGTTGAGAGTTACACAACTCTCTCTCTCTCTCATTATTATTATTTCCCTCCACCCTGTTTATCTTCCCAAGGATATTTTGTAGGTAATTATGGGAATAAATGTGAATTCCTGTGAGACACTTTGACCCCTAGCCTCCAAGAATGTTATCAGGTGTATCTACCAAAGTTTAATCTAGAAAAGCACTGATGATTCAAATATAGAACTCTCCTTTATTTCCTTCCTGCCAGAAATCACTGCTCTCTGCACCATATATAGGGAGTTCAGGAGTGAGACTAAAGTGGGAACACATTTGATTCAGCTTTTCTCCCTTTCCTGTCCCTCACCCCAAATTTTTGAGACCATGAGTGGCTATTACTCCTTCCCTTGAAGAAAATAAAACCCCCTATCAGGCTGTGCCCGAGGTCAGGCAAGTGAGGAGAGGAAAGTACACACCCTATTGTGGCCAAGACGAAGGCCACAAAAGCCATCGTGATCCTTTGACCTACATTGACGCTGATTCTGTTCCTTGGTGTCCGTGACTTCTGCACTGTGGTTAGGTTAACTCTCTGCCCCCACCTTGAATTGAGCTTTAATGAAAAAGTAGTAGGAACCCAGGCCTGTCCCTGGGGATTTGGGGTTTCTGTCTTGGAAAAGCATCAACCGAACTAGCAGGGGCAGGAGATCTGAATTCCTGTGGCTTGGGCTAACTTGGGTCCAAAGAAACCAAGTGCCTATGATCATCTTCATTCCCCAAATGTGGCCGTGCCCTTTGGATTCCCTTCTCTCACTCATGCTCCCAGTTAGGATGGCTTCCAGGCTGCTTGCTCTTGCTTTACCATTAGCATGTCCTTCCATATTTGAAATGCTTTAGCTTGTGGAACACTTTGTGGATCGCTGCTGCCTGGCTGGTCTAAAATCTTTTGGATTAGTACATGCAGCACCAAAACCACTCTTAAGTGTCAGTGTATTTCCTCTCCCTTAGGGTCCTATAAACCTCCCTGAGATTTACCTCTCTGGGTCTTCTGCTGGGCCACAGACCTCCATCCTGGCTCATCTCTCCCGCTGCACTGCTTCTATATAGCAGGAATCATTTATTTGCTTTGGTTGTATACCTTGGACCGCTAACTTGGCTAATTATAATATGATGACCAGATTTGTGTGCAGGCATAAAAAGCCAGTCTGCATAATGCTGGATGACAGAGTAATGAGGTCTGTGGGTTGCTATACTGTACTCTTCTCCTCCATGCATTGCAGAACTGAGTATGCCTTAGTACTGCTTCCAGAGAAGCTGTGGACGCTTGTTGAGCATGTTGTGGTGAATGCTACCATGATGGAGAATTTCTGCAGATTTTACCAGCTTTTAAATGACCCATTCTTGCAGATTTTTATACACAAGGAAAACCAAACTAAGAAGTTTGATAAAGGTACCCCTCTCGTTCCCTCTTCTCCCTCCCATTTTTCAAACCAGTGAAGCTCTTTTGGCCAAAATGTTGCAGCTGGGTACCTCCCACCCAGGAAAAGCTTTGGATAAATATTGATATTAAAATCTCACCCCTGGGAGTTAGTGGCTAACACACCCTTAACTCTTACCTTTAAAAGAGCAGCTCTATTGAGACCAGGCCTGAAACCCATGAAATGACCAAAAAGAGAGCAGCAAGTTCACATGCAGAGACTTATGTGTTTCTCTCCATTTCTGCTTCAGATTTGCTGACCATGAAGGAGTATCACTGTTTGCTGCAGTTACTGTGCCCGGATTTCCCACTGGAGCTTACTCAGAAAGCAGCCAGGTATGTCTCCTGAGCTCTTGAAGCCAACTCAGCCCCCTGTGGGGCAGGGCTTCATAGAGAAGCCTGAAATGTATACAAACAAACCATTAGGCAAGAACAAAACCATTAGGAAAGAAACTGGCATTTGGAAAGAGGTCTATTTGGGATTTGCCCAAAAACATAATACTCACTTTCTGCGTTTCCAAACGGAAGCCAACTGATCCTTTGTGGTTTCTGTGGGGAGCCTTAGGGTCTGCGGATAGAGTTGGGGGGGGAGGGTGAGATGAAGAGGCGCGCGCGCGCGCACACACACACGGAAAGCCCTAGAGAGGACATTCTGAGAAAAGAAGAGGTAAGAGTTGGGCCTTTTGACCACTGTATGCGACTTGGCTCAGTCCAGCTCAAGATGTTGACAGACTTCAGGGCTGATGCTGGAAAGACAGAACTGTGGTGCTTGAAAGAAGCTTTTCACATAGATAAGGTGTGTTGGAACATGTGATGGTTGGTATGTGCAAAATAGAGGCTTTTGCTTTCTTTGTCCCTTTCATGGTAAAAGCAGGGGTGAGTTCTGAGGTGCCAAATATCTGTAAGAACATATGTCTGCCCCACGGAGAATTTCCATAGAATTCAATTCCATTATTTAGAGTTTTTCTACCAACCAGCCCCAGCCTGCAGCTTGACACAGTAGCTAGACTAGCTATTCTATACCTATCTTAAGACAATTTTGTCAACTGAGCTTTAATTTATAAGGTTATTTTAAAATCCCATTCTTTTGACTGTGTAAAGATTATTTGTTCCAAAGTATCCTTTTAAAATCTTGATTTTATATGCTTACAGATTTTTCTATAGTACTGTATGTCGAGCACTTTAATGATTAAATTTGACCCTTTGACAGAAAACAGATCAATGGATTCTTAGGGATGGGCAGCCGTTGGTTGCAGAGGGGCATGGGAGTTCTGAGGAACTGTTTGACATCTTGATTATAGTGGTTATTGTGCAGTGGTCAAATCTGGGATCAGTTTTACTGAATATAAATTCTGCATCAATAAACATAACTCTTAAAAACTTTTTAAAAAAAGAGCTGGCAGCAACTTGTGAGGAAGGGGATTGAGGTTGGAGACTGGAAAGGCATGAAGGTGATAAAGCTCACTGGAGGGAAGGAATAAGTGTATTATTTTTGCTAAAAGAAGGTTTTTAAGATTATTCCAGAATAGCTAGGACCTTCTAATTTCTCTGTTTGGTTTCATTGTCATTCACATTTTTTAACCAAATGAGGTAGTTGGACTATGCACTCAGTTAACCAAAACCTGAGCTAAGGTGGCAAATGGAAGTATAGCAGAAAACCTTGTTTTCTGAAAAGTGTCACAACAGAGTTTTTAGGAAAATACTCTGTGCAGACACACTTTATTTTATTGTGCTTCGCAGATACTATGTTTTTTTACAGATTGAAGGCTTGTGGCAACCCTGGGTAGAGCAAGTCTATTGACACCATTTTTCCAACAGCATTTGCTCACTTTGTATCCCTGTGTCATATTTTGGTAATTCTCACAATATTTCAAACTTTTTAAATATCATTATATTTGTTATGGTGGCCTATGATCAGTGATCTTGAATGTTACTGTTGTAATTGTTTTGGGGCACCACACACTGTGCCCATATAAGACAGCTTAATCCACAAATATGTGTGTTCTGACTGCTCCACCCACTGGCATTCCTCCATCTCTCCCCCTCTTCTCAGGCCTCCCTATTCCCTGAGACACAGCAGTATTGAAACTTGGCCAGTTAATAACCCTACAGTGGCTTCAGTATTCAAGTAAAAGGAAGAGTTGTATGTTTTTCACCTTAAATCAAAAGCTAGAATAGAAATGATTAAGCTTAGTGAAGAAGGCATGTTGAAAGCCAAGATAGGCCGAAAGCTAGGCTCCTCGCACCAAACAACCAGGCTGTGCCTGGGAAGGACATGTTCTTTAAAGAGACAAAACTGCTCTCCCAGTGAGTGTATGAATAAGGAACCAAAACAGTTGTCAGGGGTCTGGGGAGAAGATCAAACCAGTCACAAAATTCCTGTAAGCCAAAGCCTAACCCAGAGCACGGCACCAGCTCTCTTTAACTCTTTAAAAGCTGAGAGATGCAGAAGCTGCAGAAAAAATGTTTGAAGAGGTTGGTTCATGAGGTTTAAGGAGAGAAGCAAGTTATCCAGAAGCTTTAGCTGAGACACTTAATGAACAAACTATATCCAACAATAGATTTTCTTTTATTTTTTTATTTTTTTATTGATTTCAGAGAGAGGAAGGGAGAGGGAGAGAGAGGGATAGAAACATCAGTGATGAGAGAGTCATTGATTGGCTGCCTCCTGCTGGAGATCGAACCCAAAACCTAGGCGTGTGCCCTGACTGGGAATTGAACCTGGATCTCCTGGATCCTAGGTCGGTGCTCAACTGCTGAGCCACTCCGGCCGGGCAAATAACAGATTTTCACTGTAGTCAAAACAGCCTAATAATGGAAGAAGATGCCATGTAGGACCTTCATAGTTAGAGAGAAGTTGATGCCTGGCTTCAAAGGACAGGCTGACTCTCCTGTGAGGGGCTAATGTAGCTGGTGACGTTAAGTTAAAGCCAGTGCTCATTTACATTCTGAAAATCCTAGGGCCCTAAAGAATCATGCTAAATCTACTTTTCCTGTGCTCTATAAATGGGACAACAAAACCTGATGACAGCACCTCTGTTTACAACATGGTGTACTGCTGCCAGCGACAGCAGCTTAACGGAGCAGGCTATTCTGCAGGTCACAGCTCACACTGATATTACTGGTCATGTGCAAAACCTGTTTAGTGATCACACCCCCAAAATTTTATAGGTTTTGTCCCCCTTATTGTTCAGTGGAAACTTACCTCTTTCAGTGGCAACTGGTCACTGGTAAAAGCTACAGTTCAGATTTTATAATTTTAACTTATTCTGCTATTTAAAGGAGATTTAGATTTTTTTTCCTTAGCTGAAAAGGGTGTGGGAGATTCTCTCTTGTAATTTGAAAGCAGCCAAATGGAGTTAGCTTCAAATTTCCAGTGATAGTTCCTCATTTGGAGTCGGATCTTTTTAAGGAGGATTCAGCCCCAAAATTTGGGGTGGGGGCCTCAGCATTCTTAAAGACTGGACTTAATAAAAATCAGCTACAGTTTCTACATGGCTGAATAATAAACATCAGCTCTGGTCTCTAACTAGAGAATTCCTAAAGAAAAGGAACCATGAGTGTGAGTGTGTGTGCACCACAAGGGCAGACAGGACCATACCAGTCTTGTTTGCTGCTGGAGCACTACTGCTTAGTGCAGCACCTACATACATTCTAGATACTCCATAAATGTCTCCCAAGTGGATGAGTATATGAATGAATATTCCTCATCTGACAGTTTACATGGTTCTAATAGTCCATGGTTCTAAGGAACTCTAAGGACAAAAGTCAGAAACTACATCCTATATTCATTTGTTTATTTATATATTCATCATATATGTCTTTTTTAACACTGTTTTGGGATACTATATAATTATTAAATTCAATGGCTTTTAGTATATTCACAAAATATATTCACGTCCATCACCACGATCAGTTTTAGAACATTTTAATTAGGCCATAAAGAAATCCTGCACCATTTAGCCCCTTACTCCCCAAGCCCCTTCTCCTCCCCAGCCCTTGACAACCACTAATCTACTTTCTGTCTCTATAAATTTGCCTATTTTAGACTTTTAAAATAAATGGACTCATAACATATTGTCCTTAGTGACTCATTTCTTTCACTGAGCATGTTTTCGGGGTCCATCCATGTTGTAGTGTGCTTCAGTACTCCATGAAATACTTCTTGAGTGCCAGTTTTGTGTCAGGAGCTGTTCCGCACACTGGGAATACAGAGATGAGTAAGTTATAGTTCCTGCCGCTCAAGGGGCTTGACATTGGGTTTAGAAGAGGATTACCTGGGAATGGTTACTGCCTGCCCCCACTTTATGACATACCACCTTGGTTTCTATCACTCCAGAGCAGCCACTGCCCTTCTTTCCCACTCCTGAAAGGTAGGTGGCGAGTTGAGGAGGGCGAGCCTTCTGGATGATTTCCAGCCCCCAGCAGCCTCAGCTTTGCATTTGCCGCCCATCTCACAGATCCTTCCGAACAATCTGATATATGTAAGCACTTCAAGAGTAGAGTAGAATAGAATCCTCTAACTCCACAGACTCTTACAAGTAATGATAACAAGGGCTTCTAGAGTGATATTTCCCTAGCTGTGGCCAGAAGCTCACCCCCTTCTCACCAGGAGGCCTGCGTATAGAAACTTCAGACCTTTCAGTGTGAGGAGGAGGTGCTGTAGCCAGTCCATGCCAAGAGCAGTGTGAGGGAATTCTGGGAATGTGAGTATAAACAACAGAAGGGCCTAGGGTAATGCTCAGGATACTGGCTGCAAAATTAGAGGTGAATTCAGAGCAATGAGAAGTTTGTTTTCTCCCTGTGTATGAGCATCAAGCTTCTGTGTCAGCCCCACTCCCCAAGGGCCATTCTTCCCCCAGTGCCACTCCAGCTGGTGTAGAAAAATTGTATGTATCTGAGAAGGTGCACTGATTGTGTAAGCTATCCTCATTTTGTCCGCAATCCCAACTTCACCATACAAGCCCAGCCTGCTGATGGGGGTGTGAGACCTTCAAGGCAGCTACCATCGCAGAGAGGTGCTGCCGTGTCCCGTCTCCCTGCTGGGCTCACTTCACTCAGCCTGCAAAAGGAGGCTCCGGTCTGTGATGATGTGTGTGTAAAAGAATGTAACCCATAGGCAGCTGTACACCAGAGCCTGTTCAGGGCCATGGCGTCCCCACATGTGCCTGACGTATGTGCTGCAAGCACCATGGTCAGGCCCTGGGGCGGCAGGTGTGAGCTGGAAACACAGGAAGGGAAAGAACAAGCAGACTCCATGATAGTGCCCAGCCAAAGAGCCTCTCCCCCTCACACAGTCGTGCAGCAGTGGGAGCCGCTAAGTAATTTTATTCCCA